ATTAGAAGCAGTTCAAGCAATGATAAACACAGATAGTAATTAATAGGAGGATTTGATAATTATATTTAATTAATTCATCGAGTCTGATAGAAACCTCAACAGAACGCATATATATATATATATATAAATATATATATATATTATATAAAATTAATTGATTTAAAATATGTTTTTTTTTCGCTACACAGTTCTAACCATGTTTCAAAAATTGAAGCTAAAAGCCCCGAATTTAATTTTGTGATTAAATTAAAGACATTAGTTCCATTTCATCCTCAAGCGAATTTTGGATATCTTGCTGTTCTTTCTTTATATATATATATATATATATATATATATATATATTAGTATATTGGGGGAAGCTGATCATTATTTAAATATATGTTGTTAAATATAACAAACAATGAATCAATCAATTAACATGACAGACCTTTCATGACATTAATCCATATAATAGCCTACAATTTCTTAAAGAAACCAAACTGTATTCCAAAATGTAACCTCTAACAAAACTACAGCATAAAACACACATATCAACATCTCGAGTAATTATGTGCACACAAACATCTACATGCACAAAAGCCAAGTATTCAACTGTGAAAGCAGAATAACATGTATCATATTTTTATTACTTCAAAGTTCCTAAGAAAATTAAATTTCAGGATTAAATGACCCATAAGGAGTTGATATGCCAGTAAACAAACAAATCAATCTTACTAATGTCACACTTCAGATATTTAGAGCTAAGACCCACCATACCATATACAGAGGAATGAATCATTACCATTCCCTTCATATTCCATTGATAAGGAAGAAGTTCCATCCAGTCAGTCAGTTATATGCCATGCGTGATACCAGGTGATCATGAATCTTAATAGATGATTGACAAGGCAGATTTTTTTCCCCACAGTAGGTTGCCATTTCTTTCTGTGTTAGACCAGTTGCCATCCAAGGCTATAGAACTCAGTCTGTCGTGCTACTTACCCATAGCTTGGGGGAGAAGAAGAGGATTCATACCTTTCCCAAGGGTATTAGTACATAAGTGAATGTAATGAATTCGAATGGAAAGTCAGTCAGTCAGTTATGTGCCATGCGTGATACACGCTTAGGCAATCATGTATCTTTTGATACATGACTGACAGGGCAGATTTTTTTTTTTCCTGCAGCAGGTTGCTATTTCTTTCTATGGTAGACCAGTTGCCATCCAAGACTATAGAACCCGGTCTGTCATGCTATTTACCCATAGCTGGGGGGAGAAGAGGAGGATTCATACTAAGGGTATTTGCAGTTAAGTGAATGTAATAGATTCAACCATTATCTATCCTACCTATCCTCATAATCTGCCCTTACTACCCAATCCTATGTCCATACAAATATCATTTAGTAAATTTCTGTCTTGAATGACTCTTGGGATTTATATTTGCTGAACATTATTAGAAAAAATCTAGTGGCCATTTTTATTTGCTTCACAAGGCGATAATGCCACCGAGACGTAAAAAGCTCAGTCAGTTATACATCATGCATGATACACACTTAGGCAATCAGGTATCTTTTGATCCATGTCTGATGAGGCAGTTTTTTCTGGCAGTAGGTTGCCATTTTTTTCTGCGGTAGACCAGTTGCGATCCAAAGCTATAGAACCTGGTCTGTCCTGCTATTTAACCATAGCTCGGGAGACAAGCAGTGGATCATACCTTTCCCAAGAGTATTAGTGTGTAAGCGAATGTAATGAATTTGACTGGAATTCAAACTCGACACTCTGGTTCCTCAATCCAAGCCACTATCCATTAATCCACCGTAGCTCTTCCCAAAAACTGCCACTTCATGGGGCAAGCTTCTGAAAAGATGCTTCCTCCCGAACACTAAAACCATTTCAAGTATAAGGTCATCTGTTACATATCCTACACATCATGTTAATCTGCCCTTATCTCTGACTCCAAAATGCATACAACAACCTTATTTATTAACTCTCTAACTTGTGTGGCTCTTGAGGCTTGAGTTTGGTGAACATTTTGCAAAGAAAAAAAAGAAGAGCAAAAACAGAACAGATTTCAGGGGCCAACATGATATACCAATGGAGACTAAACTGTCTGTCCGTCATGATTATTATGAGTTCTTCATGCCTGTCAAGTAGATGTGGTTTTTGGTAACTGAGAACTGAGCTGTCGACCCTCAGGCAAGCAGTTTAACAGCCAGAGTGATCTTGAAAGAAAAACATTTTCATCAAGTTTATAAATAGACTCCTGAAAATCCATTTATTCATCTCAGCTGAAATTGTGCGTAAATTATGCTAAGTCGTTCTGCATATGATATTGGATATGTATGCAGGCCCGTGATATCACAGACTGAATTCATTAAACAAATAAGTCAAAACTTTCAATAAACAACCATTCATGTTCTAAGATAAATCTTTCTTTATGTGCTGTGTCCCTTAATGATATAGGCGATCATGGCTCTCCACTTCCTCCTATCCCTTGTAGCTTTCAATATGTTTTGACCCTTTGCTACTTCTTTCAAACCCTGTTCTGACATACACTTGCTTAAGCTCTCTAGGTATGACATGCATTGCTTTTCCTTGTCTCTCTTTCCCTCTATCCTTCATTTGAGTACCAGATTCTCCAAGCCCTCCTTTCTCATTACATGTCCCAGAAATTTCAACTGCCTTTTTCTTCTCACCACATCCTGTCGGTGCAAGTAAAAGAGTGAGAGAGTGAGTCCCTTCCTTTTTAACACAATGTCACCTGGTGGGCATTACGTGAAGAGTCTTGGCAGACAAATATAAAAATTTATGTTTCATCTCTCTTTATTATTTTTTTATTTTTTATTTTTTCAAAATTTATTATTACTTAAGGAAAATATTTGACAGTGCCTACTAATAATAGCTATTTCATTTCTTTGATTTAGTAAATTTTTATTTTTCAGAAACTTAATGTATAATTATTCATGTATGCACAAAGGACATGGGTCACTTAATGACCTACAAGCTCTAGCTTTTCTTGTAAATTTCCAATGGAAAAGAGATGAAACCTACATTTTTATATTTGATCATTAATTAGTAATTAAATTCTAACATATTTATAAAAATATCATATAGTTTATTAGTTATTAAAAGGACGAATGGTACTTTAGATCTGTAAAAAATAAAATTTAAATATTAAAAATATGACTTACACATATTTAAATGACCCTTTTAGAAAATCTGTGTATAAAAATATGAATTTAGCAAGTGAATAAAAATGCCAAAATTATTTTTGTCATTGAAAACCCAGATGACTCACTGAATAACGGAAGAATATGTTTGTTAGCGGGCACCCCCACCCCTAAATATAACCTGACTTTGTAAGTAACATATATTGGATACATAAGCTGTCTAGGAAAATTAAAACCCAACCACCCCTAAATTAAAATAGATTGAATTTTCTTTAAAGCTAACAACTCATGATATTAATATTGTCTGCACTAATAAATTAAATAAATTTCTTAGAAAGTTATTTATAACATCACTTAATGAAATTAAACTATGGATTTTAAGTTTAATTTTTATAATTAAATTTATAAATTTAGTTTCAGTTTTGAAACATGAAAATTTTCGGTGTCATGATGGATTCATATTTTTAAAAAGAAATAATTATTATATTTTGCTCTAATATTTGTATCAAGCAGTTTTTTTTTAAATAAAAATTATTGCTAAGTACAACAGATTATAAATCATACTGTTCTTTCTTATTATCTATCTCTCTCTCATATATATATATATATATATATATATATATATATATATATATATATATATATATATTAAAAAGAAGAAGAGAGGTGCCAAAAACATTTGTGGCACCTCTCTTCTCTTCAATATACACACTTTTCTCTCATTGGAACCACTATTAGTTACTGTGAAAGAATAAGAAAAAAAGAGAAACATTATTGAGGAGAGGGAATAACAGAAAATGGAATTAAGAAGGTAGTAGATAATGATTGACATTGCATTTAAATTTTGGAAGATCAAAGTTGGCTTGAAAGCAAGGAGCTGGAAGAGAGTTCCACAAGCGAGAAGTGTGAGAGAAGAAATTGTTAGCATAGAATTTACATTGTCATCTAGCCAATTTTAAATTGATAAGAGCCTGTTGCCAATCTTGTACTGCACTTAAATTCATAAAGTCTAGGTACTCTAAAGTCTAGGTACCCTAGCAGAAAGTTAATCCAAACAATTACAAGTAAAAGTATCTATAGGAAAAGCACAGAGAAGCTACATTATGGCAGTAGAAAAGTGACCAAAATCGAGTTGCCAGGTCAGGACCAATAATCTTGTGAATTCTTCTTTGGATTTTATCAAGAATTTCTAAATATATAACAGGATCACCTGACTATATGTGGAATCAATATTCAAAGACTGGATAAATGGTAGACTTATGTAAGATAGATTCTGAAGAGGAAAATTGTCTAGCATGACACAACAACCAGATTGGTGATGGCCAACTTATATTTTGTAACTAAATGATTAAAAAAAGTACAAAATTTATAAATAATAATAAAAAAAAAGAAAAATCCATGTTCAAGTAATGAAATGCTCCAAATCATAAAACTGACATTTTTACAGATTATTTACTATCAGACAAATTTCAGTCCTATTTAGATTGGGATAAAATATTAGATTCCTTAAAATGATTAACAAATATTATCAACATAAATATTACTCTAGTTCCATTGAATATACAACCAATCATTGCATTTTCTTCCTTGCAACTGATCTCCACTTGAGAGAATCATTTTAACAAGGCCTTTAATAGTTCCTAATAAATTTGGTTCAAGAGATTTTTATTTTATTGACTTGCAAAGATAAGAGCAATTTGGAAGCCAAAAGAAAACATTAATGACTTTGATAAAATAATTCAGTCACTCCTGTGTAGGAGAAGCAAATTGAATTTTGTAAGGTTTTTGGTTCAATTACTTGAGCAGGACTGATGAAGTCTGTAGCTATATGAAGATAGGCAGAAAAGAGGACATTAGAGAAAAAAGGAGAAAAGGAGAAAAAGAGAAAAAAAAGGAGAAAGAGAGGAAAGGAGAAAGAGAGGAAAAGAGAAAGAGGAGAAGAGGAGAAAGAGAGGAAAAAGGAGAAAAAGAGGAAAAAGGAGAAAGAGAGGAAAAAGGAGAAAGAGAGGAAAAAAAAGGAGATAGTAAAGAAAAAAGTGGGAAAAGAAAAAGAGAAACATAGAAAGAATAGAAAAAGAAGAAAAGAAAAAAAAAAGGAATAGAAAAAAAAAGAAAAAAGAAAAGAAAAATGGAAAAAATAGAAAAGAAAAAAAAAAAAACAGGAGAAAAAGAAAAGAAGAAAAAATGGTAAAAAGAGAAAAGGTGAAGAGAAAAAAAAGAAATGATAAAATATAAAGAAAAATGGAAATAAAAAGAGAAAACAAACAAGAGGAAAAACAAATGAAAAAGATAAAAGAGAAATAAAAAAGCAAAACAAACAAGAGGAAAGACAAAGAAAAAGCAAAAAGAGAAAAAGAGAAGAGAAACAGCAAAGAGAGAGAAAGAGAAAAGAAAAAAGAGGAGAAAAAAAAAAAAGAGGAAGGTAACAACGAAGAGACAGAAGGGAGAAAAAGGAAAAAGAAAGAAAGGAAAATAGAAAGACGATGGGGAAGAGAAGGAAAAGGAAAGAGAAGGGAAAAGGAAAGAGAAGGGAAAAGGAAAGAGAAGGGAAAAGGAAAGAGAAGGGAAAAGGAAAGAGAAGGGAAAAGGAAAGAGAAGGGAAAAGGAAAGAGAAGGGAAAAGGAAAGAGAAGGGAAAAAAATTGAAAAAATGGTAAAGGTAGATGGAACTAAGAAATGAAAGGAGAACTAACAAAAGACTGAAAGAAAAATTAAAAAAAACATTCAGAAAGAGAAAAAGAAAAACAGAAAGAAAAAAGGTAACAAGATATGAGAGAAAAAGAGAGAAGAGAAAAAGAGAGAAGAGAAAAAGAGAGAAGAGAAAAAGAGAGAAGAGAAAAAGAGAGAAGAGAAAAAGAGAGAAGAAAAAGAAAGAAAGAGAAGAAGAAAAAAGAGAGAAGAGAAAAAGAAGAGAAAAAGAGAGAAGAGAAAAAGAGAGAAGAGAAAAAGAGAGAAGAGAAAAAGAGAGAAGAGAAAAAGAGAGAAGAGAAAAAGAGAGAAGAGAAAAAGAGAGAAGAGAAAAAGAGAGAAGAGAAAAAGTTTAATGAAGAAGTAGCAAGAAAGAACAAAAAAAGAAAGAAAAAAAAACCTAAAAAGAATAAGAACAAAAGAAAAAAATGGTAGTCAGCCAAATAATGAAGGAGAGAAAAGAAAAAAAAACATGGAAGATAAATGTCATTGTGAGTGATATAGTGATTGAATTTGCAGGAAGAAAAAAAAAACATCACCACACCCAACCACACCTTTTTAATTCCATTTCTATCTCATCAAGCAGACAATTTCACAAATAGATAATGAACCTTACCAGTCAAGTTTAATGATCACAGCCTTCTCTTCTTCTCCACAAAATGAATGAATCGAATTCATTAATAGTCTGATCAATTAATCAATCAATTTGATCGACATCACCTGATTGAATGAAACAACATAAAATCTTAGTCTTTGAATGAAAATAACTAAGAACACTCTGCCATACACATTGTTAAAAATGTTTTTGGCTTATACATTGTTAAAAATGTTTTCTGCTTTATACATAGTTAAAAATGTTTTCTATCCAATACATTGTTAAAAATATTTTCTGCCTTAAACATCAAAAAAAAAAAGTTTTCTGGCTTATACTTTGATACAAAGAACATACGTAGAAAATAGCATTTTATGGTCAAAATCATGTTCAAAACGGTGGTCCTCATCTAATGAGTGAAGTTAAACAGTTTCAAATCTAAACAATACTTGAATGAGTGAGGACTTTGGAAAGTTAGTGAGTGACTAATAAATGCAATGAAATCAATCATTTTTGGATATGGTGCCTTCAAATGAGCCAAGAAAAATCTTGCACCAAAATATGTGTTGACCAATGTTATTTTTAATCTTTAATGGTTGAAGCATGGTTATTTATTTTGAAGGATTTCATTGTTTATTTCCACTAGATTATTTATTTTGGACTTGTCAAGATTTTTATTTTGGACTTTTCTTTCATCTTCATTTTAATTGCTTTATTTCCACTAGTAGTATTAGTAGTAGTAATATTATCTGCAATTTTGATTAGATGAAGCATTGTTTAAGTATTATTATTTATTTTTTTTCATTATGATTTTCTTTTGGACATCTTCATTTTAATTGCTTTATTTCCACTAGTAGTATTAGTAATAGTAATATTATCTGCAATTTTCATTAGATGAAGCATTGTCAAGCATTATTCCTTTTTAGACTAGGATTTCTTTCATCTTCATTTCAATTGCTTTATTTCCACTAGTAGTATTAGTAATAGTAATATTATCTGCAATTTTTATTAGATGAAGCATTGTTCATTTCATTATTCATTTTGGACTTTTCATTAGGATTTCTTTCATCTTCATTTCAATTGCTTTATTTCCACTAGTAGTATTAGTAGTAGTAATATTATCTGCAATTTTCATTAGATGAAGCATTGTCAAGCATTATTCATTTTGGACTAGGATTTCTTTCATCTTCATTTCAATTGCTTTATTTCCACTAGTAGTATTAGTAGTAGTAATATTATCTGCAATTTTCATTAGATGAAGCATTGTCAAACATTATTCATTTTGACTAGCATTATTCATTTTTATTTCCACTAGTAGATTAGGATTTCTTTCATCTTCATTTCAATTGCTTTTCATTTCCACTTTATTAGTATTAGTAGTAGTAATATTATCTGCAATTTTCATTAGATGAAGCATTATTCATTTTGACTAGCATTATTCATTTGGACTAGGCATTTTCTTTCATCTTCATTTCAATTGCTTTATTTCCACTAGTAGTATTAGTAATAGTAATATTATCTGCAATTTTCATTAGATGAAGCATTGTCAAGCATTATTCATTTTGGACTAGGATTTCTTTCATCTTCATTTCAATTGCTTTATTTCCACTAGTAGTATTAGTAATAGTAATATTATCTGCAATTTTCATTAGATGAAGCATTGTCAAGCATTATTCATTTTGGACTAGGATTTCTTTCATCTTTCTTTCCTCTTCATTTCAATTGCTTTTCTTTCATTTCATTTCAATTGCTATTAGTAGTATTAGTAGTAATATTATCTGCAATTTTCATTAGATGAAGCATTTTGGACTAGGATTTCTTTCATCTTCATTTCAATTGCTTTATTTCATTTTAGTAGTACTATTATCTGCAATTTTCATTAGATGAAGCATTGTCAAGCATTATTCATTTTGGACTTTTCTTTCATCTTCATTTCAATTGCTTTTATTTCCACTATTAGTATTAGTAGTAGTAATATTATCTGCAATTTTCATTAGATGAAGCATTGTCAAGCATTATTCATTTTGGACTAGATTTCTTTCATCTTCATTTCAATTGCTTTATTTCCACTATTAGTATTAGTAGTAGTCATTAGTGTAGTTATTATTTGGATTTTCATTAGATGAAGCATTGTCAAGCATTATTCATTTTGGACTAGGATTTCATTTCATCTTCATTTCAATTGCTTTTATTTCTACTATTAGTATTAGTAGTAGTAATATTATCTGCAATTTTCATTAGATGAAGTTTTTTGTCAATTTCATTATTCATTTTGGACTAGGGATTTCTTTCATCTTCATTTCAATTGCTTTATTTCCACTATTAGTATTAGTAGTAGTAATATTATCTGCAATTTTCATTAGATGAAGCATTGTCAAGCATTATTCATTTTGGACTAGGATTTCTTTCATCTTCATTTCAATTGCTTTATTTCCACTAGTAGTATTAGTAGTAGTAATATTATCTGCAATTTTGATTAGATGAAGCATTGTGAAGTATTATTCATTGACTATTAGGATTTCTTTCATCCATAATTTTACTTACTTTATTTCTATTAATGCTTGAGTTTATATCTTTTTCTCATCCCGCCTGCTACATGCTAAATATTAGGATAGACAAATTTTCCCCAGTTTGAGTGGTAGCCAATATGGGAGAAAGAAAATTCTGAATGTAAAACTGTCTAAATAAATAAATAAAATACACCACAAGCTAGAACATGACTGTGACATTGATACTAATGTCTGGCATGACACGTAAATTTAAAATGACCGAAATGTGATGACAAGAAAAATGAGGACAATAGTCCAAGTGTAATTAAAGTAAGTAATACCTCCTTGTCCCAGAAATTCAGACACAGGTCTTTTTTTATTATTGCAAAAATTCTTGGAGAAATATTCTTGATGAGACAAGTATCCGAATGTGAACAATATGTACCAGTAAATCTATAAGAGAATACGAATTGATGGAAGGTTTATGAATGCAAGAAGCATCTGCACATGATTGGAGAGAATGCAGCTGGTATAGCTTGATGAAGAAAGATGAGGGCATTGGTCTGATTGATTCAGTGTTTAACAGTAACAATAAATCTCACCTCAGAAAAACAAATAGAAGGAAGACTGGAGGGCATAGTGGCTAAAACATTGTGATAAACACAATGAAGATGAAGACTGAATGAATAAATGTGTAATATCTGTATACTTCTGAGATGAGGTCTAACTACTTACATTGTTCAAACGGTTTTTCTCAACTTTGTCATATTGATGATGCTTCGACTGTTCTATGATACGGCCTTCTTCAGGATCTATCTATACTTCCGAGATGAGGTGTAACTACTTACATTGTTCAGACGGTTTTTCTCAACTTTATTGTCATATTGATGACGCTTCGACTGTTCTATGATACGGCCTTCTTCAGGATCTGTCTATATTTCTGAAATGAGGTATTGTAACTATTTACACAATTTACATCATTTGGAATGTTGTCATCTTTATTACCATATTCATGACATTTCGGCCATTGTACACTCTGGCCTTCTTCATGATCTATTCTATATTTCTGAGATGAGGTATTGTAACTATTTACACTCTTTACATTGTTCGGACTGTTGTCCTCATCTTTATTGTCATATTCATGATGTTTTGGTGTTGTACACTCCTGCCTTCTTCAAGTGACATATGTTGGAATTTTGGACCAGATTGTTCTAGTTCCATGTGCTATGCCCTTCCTGTATATCTTAGTTTCAGTTAATTCCCTTTTGTAACTGAACTCTCCAAATTTTTGTTCACTTCTGCTGTTGCCAGGGATTGAACTCATAACTCTTTGGTCAAGTCACTTTTTAGAGTATTAATCTCAGAAATTTAAAGAAAAAGAAGACAGAAAATTCAAGTGTTCAAAACTTTGTTGATTCATTTTTTTATGGCTTATCAACCCTTTGCATGTCATTTAAAGCCAGAATATATTTTTAGATTGTAATTCTTTTTTTGGGGGGAAATAATAACGGTTTAGTGTTACAAGTCTTATTATTTAACCCATAGCTGGGGCAATTCTTACCTTTCGCAAGGATATTTGTGCATAAGTGAATATAACAAACACAAATGGAATTTGAACTCTTGTCTCCAATATTCCTCACCATTATTCATTACACCACACATAAACATCCAAGCTTACAGCACCTGGTATTTGCAAATGGTCACTCATCTAGGTACTGACTAGGCTCAGCATTACTTGACTTCAGCAATCACACAGAAAACAGCATTTCAATGTAATATCTGTAAGCCTTCAAAACTTTGTGATAAATACAAGAAAGATGAGGATACTCGTTTGAGTGAATCAATGTGTAATAGTAGTAACAGTTCATCTCTGACATTCAAATGAAAGAAGCCAGAAGAGTCAAATGGCCAAAATTTTGTGGTAAAGACAAGAAAGATGAGGATACTTGTCCAATTGATTTTTCTGTTTAACAGCACATCGACTCCTTATTGGTCATTTAATGCTGAAATTTAATTTTCTTGGGAGCTTGGAAGTAATAAAAATATGATGTGTTATTCTGCTTTCACAGTTGAATACATGGTAGATAACACTCAGCTTTTGTGCTTATATATGTTTGTGTGGACATAATTATAGGAGAAGTGTGTTTTATTTTGTAGTTTTGTTGAAGTTATATTTTGGAATACAGTTTGATTTCTTTAAGAAATTGTAGGATATTATATGGATTAATGTCATGAAAGATTTCATATTGTTTGTTTGGTAGGATTTTAAATGGATTTGGATGGAGTCACTACAATTTGTTAGTATGTGTGTAGTATCTGTCAATATTTCTGAGATGAGGTATTATGTACATTATTTATATTATTCAGACTATTGGCGACAAAGATGAGGTAATAAATATGGCGACAAAGATAAGGACAATAGTCAGAATAATGTAAATAATGTATGTGTGTAGTG